GTGAGCTCGTGCCCCGCAGGGTTTTTCGGCGACAAAGGTGCCCGGAGGTGCCGCCGGTGCTACAAGGGCTGCGAGCGCTGCATCGGGAGGGGACCAACCCAGTGCACGGCATGCAAGCGAAGCCTCTACCATCACCAGGAGATGAGCACCTGCGTGGTGCTGTGTCCGCCCGGGTTTTACGCCGAGGAACGTAAGGATGTTTATCACTTGCAAGCTGTAGCATGAGGATATGCAGGGGTTGCTTCTATTTTAAGTGCTATGGGTGGAGAAAACACCTTGATTTTTGAGTATTGGCTTTGAATTTCTCCCCCTTGACCTGCTTTGCACAGTGAAGGGAGGAGGAAAACCTCTGGGTGTTCAGAGGGTGGTGCAAAGCAGAGGCGCTCAACTCAGCTCTTAATTAGAAGACTGTAATTAATGATCCTAGCTGCTTGCAAAGCGTATTCTTCTTAGCAAGCAATGACAGATAAGGTCATCTGCAATAGCAGGGACCCATCGGGGGTGGGGACGTGCCTCTCTGCCCTGGGGAGCTGGCGCTGGGGTGCAGTGGGGCTTTGTGGCTCCGACTGCCGCTTGCAAATCATTGTCCGGGTTTTATTCTCCCTGCCTCGCTTTGTTTTTTGAAAGGTCAGAAACGCTGTCTGAAATGTCATCAAAGCTGTAAAAAATGTGTCAGCGAAGCAGACAAATGTACTGCATGCAAAGATGGATTCAGGTAAAATACCAGCACGGGAGGAGTTTATACCTGCAGCATTGGTACCCGTGGTTTAAATTTGGGAAAACCGATGGGAAATTAGAGAGTGAGTTAGTTAAAGACCCAAGATCCTGCTTCCATGGTACTACAGCTGTGCCGTGGAGCTGGGAATTTAAAGGTGGTGCTTTGTGTCCCTTTCTTAGCTGAAAAGCACGATTTAAATTTAATTTCATTTTCTCCAGCGCTTGCCAGGGTGGTGGGTAAGTGCTGTGCTGCGGGCTCAGAAGTGCTCGTCCAAATTTGGTGACCTGCGATCAGAGCAGCTCCCAGCATCACAGCATCCCAAATGGGGGGAAAAAAGCAATGAAAACGTTTACACTGCACGTTACAAGTGTATGTTTCCTCCTGAGTCTCAGGCGGCTCCATCAGAGCTGTCCCAGCCAAACGGGGCGCTTAGTTTTGCTCACCTGGCAGAGCTGGTACAGGGCTGAGCTGCTCCAGGCAGGCTGAAAATGCTTCCTGCAAGTGCAGAAACCCTTCCCTCAGCTTCATCCATGCAGGAAAATTTTATCCCGTGTACCTGTTGAGTGGGGCTAGCATAGGATAGTGGTTTTCCAGCAATGAGGGTGCAGGCGGGGCAGCCCCAACCCCGCGAGGAGCACCGGGCGCCCTTGCTGCTGGGCCCACGGCTCCTGCGGGATGCAGAGCCCAGCCATGCCAGCGAGCAGCATCGGCACTGGGGAGAAGCTGTTTTCCATCCCTGAGCTCACATGGAAGTATGATCCCGTAGCCCTTTGCTTCGCTCAGGGGCTGTTAGCGGGCCAGAGCCACGGTGTAGCAGCGGGGCTCTCTCAGACAAGGAAATTGCCGCTGCCAAAAGATTATCTACTCCTTCAGAACAGCAAAAGTGGAGGCACTTGTCAGACATAATCCACACGGCGCTTGCTTTTTATTGTCCAATATCCTTTTAAGCCGGGACTTCAAATCATCCCTGCCACGGTGAAGCAGCACTGGCCCAGCTGCGGCACTGAACCAATTTCCTTTTATTCCGGGGAGCCTCATGGTGCAAAGGGTCTTTGGGAGAGCCTGGCTGGCTGCCCACGGGAAAAAAAAAATTTATTTCCTCCTGGATACTTAATTAAGGAACCTGCAGCCGTCCCTTTGGTCCAGGCAGGACTTTAATTTCTCCTGAAGCGCTGGCTGGCTTTCCAATGCCTCCTGCGCTGCAGGCTGAGGCTGCTGGAGGGTCCGGGGAGCCTCATGGTGCAAAGGGTCTTTGGGAGAGCCTGGCTGGCTGCCCACGGGAAAAAAAAAATTTATTTCCTCCTGGATACTTAATTAAGGAACCTGCAGCCGTCCCTTTGGTCCAGGCAGGACTTTAATTTCTCCTGAAGCGCTGGCTGGCTTTCCAATGCCTCCTGCGCTGCAGGCTGAGGCTGCTGGAGGGCACTGGGGGATGTGGAGACAGGGACAGGCTGTGTTGAGTCCCCAGAGCCTGTAGCTTCAGGTGCAAATGTCCTCTCTGCTTTCCCGGCAGCCTGGCAGGAGAGAGCTGCGTGCCAGAGTGCCAGCCTGCCATGTACCTCAGCCGGGAGCCCCGGCGGTGCGAGACCTGCCCCGCTGGCACAGGTATGTCCTTTGCCCCACAGCGTCCCCATGCAAAACCCTCGTGCATCCAGAGCCGATGCCCACCATACCCACGCCGAGCCAAGGCAGAGCGGGCCGGAGGGGAAGCAATCCCAGCTCTCCAGCGTACCCCGCGAGGTGCTGGGAATATGTTCATATCGGAAAGGTTTTTAGGGAGTTTTTACATTTTTATTAGAGCCATTCTTTATTTCCCGATCCTTCTGAAGCCAGGTGCTTTAGTTTAATAAGGTTGCGGGGGAGGCCATAAAACCCTCTCAGAGTGATGGAAGATGGCTTTGCAGCGTATAAAAATGTCAGGCAGCCGAGGTGCATTATCCTGGCCAGGCTGGCCGCTGCCGGCTTCCCCCCGCTGCCCGAAGTCACTCGGCGTTCCCTTTAAATCCTGCCTTTTTCGCTTCTTGAAAGTCCAATTATTTTCCATTGTTCCTGTTTGCGTCTGCCCTCGAAATCATCATAGATCTGATGATAATATGATCTCTAGACAATTCATGTTCAGTGGTGTGAATCTCATCTATCATACATGGGCAATTTCCTAAGACTAAATCCAAAATATTTATTGATCTTGTTGGCAAGCGTGGAAGGGAACAGGCTCTTAATCCCTTAAGAAAATTACTTCCCTTCTAATTCTTATTCCAGTCAGTGTAAATGTACTTCACCACAATTATTTTTCAAGCCTTTTTCATCTCCTTTTCCTGCATAACCATTTCTCAAGCCCAGCGCATGGAAGGCCTCTAATAATACCACCTCCATCACCGCGGTTTGCCGTCCAGCCGCAGCACGCTGGCGTCAGAGTGGGGCCCTCTTTCTCAGCTCCTCTCCCGAGCCCTTCCCTCCTCCAGCTCCTCCGCAGCCCAATTTAGCATCTCTTTTTCCACGTTACTCCGCATAGGGTGGGAAAGCCAAACTGGTGCACGCCTGGGAGCAGTGGCTGATGCCCCAGAAGGGATTTTGATGTGCTGTCCCCCAATGACCCCCTGTGGCTGGCTCTTGGCTCTGCAGAGAGGCAGGATGCTGGGTCCTGGCTGGATTTTTTGGGATGGGAGCTGAGTTTTTTGAGGTGGGACCCAAGCAGCCACACAGGACCCTGGTGGCACAACAGCTTGTTCACTCCTGGGCACGAGCGGGGCAGAGCCGAGCTGGTGCCCCCCATTTCATGCAGGGTTGCGGCCACGCTGGTGCGACATGGCTCCTGTCTCCGAAACCGCCCACATCATCTGCCCTCTCCCCTGTCCCCACAGGGCCGGGCGAGGAGGACTGTGCACCCTGTGCCCCCGAGGCCCCTGCACCCCAATGGCGCTGCGTCCCCACCTGCCGCGAGGGCTTCTACCCTGCCGACAGCCACGGGCTGCCCAACAAAGTCTGCAAGAGGTACGTTACCTCCCCGATCACGACCGGAGCATAGCCAGGACTGATGGGGAGTGCTGGCAGCGAAGATAAAAAAAAAATAATGCTGAAAACAGTTCGCAGCTGGAGCTGTTTACTAGGGAAATTAAAATAGGGATGAGGGAGCCAGGGCAGCCGTGGGGCTGGACCCCACACACCCCTGCCCTATAGATTTAAGACCAGTGAAGCTGCACGCTCCCCTGCCGGAGCCAGCCAGCCAAGACGTCTTAGGGCTACGGTGGAAGGGGCTCAGCCCCAGCTCCAGGCTCTTTGGAGGAGGTGTGGGAGGAACGGTGATGTTTAGGCAAATATTCGAGCTTTCAATCAAACCTGCTCTGTTTGCCCCGTGGCCATGTTGGAGGAGTGTTTGCCCGCTCCTTGGCCCAGCACGGGGGCTGTGTGCAGGAGACGGAGATGCCGGGAGGCAGCAATTTGCTCCCACTCTCCAGCACTCTGTGCTTTAAGTGGGGAGTGGGAGTGGATTCAGCCTCATTAAAGCGAACATGAAAGGGAAGGATTAAAGGTGACTTGGGAACACACAACACAGTCCCTGCCTGCCCAAGGTTTCGCTCACCCGTGCTGGCTATCCAGCAGAGAGGAACAGGGTACCAGCATCCCTTCCCAGGGATTTCGAGTATGGTCTCCGCAAGCTGTCATCCCCAGGCAGGAAGCACAGCTGCTGGGCTCTTTTCCCTGAGCAAACAGGTGGGAGCAGCACAGGTTCCCCTTGCAGCCCTTTTTCTAATCAGGATTGCTGGGAGGAGAGGTGCGTGTCCCACTGAGCCTTCCCAGCAGGCAAGCGCTTTTGGGATGTCACCAGCTGTCACTGGGCATTGAGCTGGCACCAGTGAGCCCATTTTTCCCAGGGCTTCAGTACCTTTTCAAGCTTCATATTCGCTGTTTTCCACATCCTCTGGTTTGGTCTGGATGTCACAGTGCCGACAGACATGTTTTCTGGCCGATGGCCCATTTCAGATGGCCGGGGTTGGGGTCTCGGTGCTGGTTCAGACCACAGCGGGGTCTCTGTCCCCAGGTGCGATGACCACTGCTCAGCCTGTGAGGGCTCCGGTGGAAACTGCCTCAAGTGTAAAGAAGGTTTCAACCTCCTTGGTGGCTCCTGTGTAACAAATGAAACCTGTACCAATGGTAAGTAGTTGTGGCAGAACTGCTGGCACTGTGGTGCTTCCCCAGTAGCAAAAATGATGGGTTTGTGGGCTTCCCTTCAGAGCAGAAAGCTGAAAGTGCTGCAGCTCCTGGGCTTGATGGGGTACGGCTGCAGCGAGCCGGGCTCCGGCTGCAGTGGGCAGGCGGCTTACCTGGCAGAGCTGCTAGATATCTGCCTGTTGCTCAAACGCATCTGAGCATTTGTATTTTGTTATAGTTTAGTCTTGGGGCTAATTCTCCCACTCGCTGCAAAGCTGCTTTATTCCTTCATTAAAACCATGTGAAAGATGCCCTTAAAAAGCAACTCTTTTTCAATTCTCTCTCCTCCAACACTGGAACGAATTGCACCGCCTGTTACGTGCAATGTTTGTTTATTTAAAATGTTAATCTGCTCTCATTTTCTCTTGTTCCTTGCCTCGGCCTCCCAGCTGACAAGACTTTCTGTGAGATGGTGAAATCAAACAAGCTCTGTGAAAAGAAGCTGTTTGTGCAGTTCTGCTGTCAGACGTGTCTTATGGCCGGGTAAAGTTCAGCGGCTGCATCCATCCAGGACTTCCACCAACTGCCAGCCCGGTTTTGCCAAATGTTTAGGACAAAAGTTTATTTTTTCAGCTTTGGGAGAGTTTACATGGTGCTGTCAAGCATTCACTCGTAAGTTTGATAGCTTTAATATCACTGTCAGCGCGTTTCTATAGCAATATGTTAAGCAGAGATTGGATCGTACCCTGAATGATCAAGTCCTGAAAGGCAGCAGACAAGCGGTGATATTAATACTCTCAAACACTCCTCATGAGCAGGGACCGATGCATGATCCACGTAGCCAAGCTTGGTTCTTTGCAGAAATCCTACTGATGTGCCCGCTCCGAGTGGCTGGCAGGAGCCCTCGCTGCAAAGGATGCAGGACTTCACACATCTGTGAAGAAAGAGCCGGTTCTGGCTCAATTTTTGGTACCCTTTTCTGCTAGGTGACGGCTGATATAAACCTGCATTGCAAACGGCCAGCACCGTGCTCTGTATATATGTAAAACGATGAATTAGGTGGTTCCCGGGGCGGTGCCCTAAAGCCTGCTCTGGCACTCCTGTTCAGATTCAGTCGGTAGCTGTTTCTCTCTGGCTGTGGCAATAACTGGAGATTTGAGGACCAAAGCGAGAGCTGATCCATGTGGCTCTGCAGGCGTGTCAGCACAGTGAGCCTGGCAGGGCTTTGCCCTGCGGGTAACCACAGGCAGGCAAAACCCATGTGCCGACAGGGAGTCTTACGGACTCAGGGGGTTCGTCTGCATGGACCAGCCTGTGGGGTCACAGCCTTACCATGAAATGTATTTACCTCCTGGAACTGCTAGTAAGTTGCTGATTAATTCAGTTCTGGAACGAGCTAGATCCTTCCTCTAAACGAGATGGTGTCCCAATTAATCTCTTCTGGCATTTTGCGTTCCGATCCTTCCCCTGTTTCATTGGGTATACCCCTCTCTCTCACAAAATCCTCCTGTTCACGGCAGTGATTTTTCTTGGGCATCTGTTTCCAAAAGAGACATTCCAGGGATCCGGCCAGGAAACTCTTAATTCTACAAAACCCTTCCCCAAAACAAATCTTTTCATGCTCTCTCTTAATAGTAAGTCATGTGGTGTTTATATAATTCTGTTTAAAATATCCTTGGCTATGTTGTTTTACAGATTTTTAAAAAATAACTTATACAATCCTTGTTTTTTCTCTGTAGACTATTTTTTATATGGGAGTGGGGAATCTTTTTGTGTCTTACGTCCTTCTCCTTTTCTCCTCTCTGACCTTGCAGAGCCGCACTTTGCACCAGACGTATGTAAACACTCTTTCCTACGCTGCATGTTCTGATTTTCATTGTTAATAGTTTTAATGAGTTAAACCTTTTGCCAGTGAAATTCACAGTACAAATTGTCACCAGTTCCTCACGGAGCTGGGATAATCCCTACTTGGTTTCGGTTGCAACGACACGCACCCTGCCTGGGCTTGCCTGCTAGAGCTTACCTCAGCCAGGTGAAGAGGGGAGAGCCACACCATCACCGGTCCTCACCTGCCTGGACCAAACCCAAGGAAAGATGGAGCTTTGGTAAACTGACCTTTAAGTTAATAAACTATTGATCTCCCCTGACAAATGAATCTGTGCTTTTTACAAATTCATGCAGCCGCCATCCCGACCAGAGGCAGGGCACGGCAACGATGCACCGCGCGTCTTCATTTTGCTGGACAAAGCAGCTGTCCTGGCTGGAGCTCCTGATCAGCCCAGAGCACCTGCGGGAGAAACGGCTCAGGAACAAACAAGCTGCATCTGCAAAAACCTCACATTTGTTCTCATAAAGGTCTTTTACCTTCAGAGGAAACTCATATCCCAAATACACGCCCCGTGCCAGGCTGGGCCGGCATCTCTGGCGCACCCAGGGCTGGCTGGCTGGGGTTTGGGGCTGCGCTCGGGCACGGCTGGGCGTATTCTTCGGTTGTGGGGGGAGCGCAGCATGTGGTGGTGCATCTGCAGCTGGATGAGCTGGCAGGGGGGCTCGCTCCCCTTTCCCACCCGTACACAGAGCATCCTGCGGCCCCCAGTGCCCCAGTGCAGTTCACAGCCGCTGGGAACCACGGGGCCACCTTCCCCCTTCTGCTGGCTGGGGAAGGAGAGGAGCCGCTGGTGTGTCGGGGAGTGGAGGGAGCTGTGGAGCCTTTCGTTTGTCGTGTTGGTTTTGCAATGTTTAACCATGGGCCAGGTGCCCAGGGTAGTGCCTAGATATCTCGAACTGAGCTTTTTAAGTGTGGGAAAAAAAAGAAAAGAACTGAGCCCTCCCACAAGGGAAGATGCTTTCTCAGAGCTCTGCTGCTGTGGGTTCCTGCATCTTACAGGTCTTCACATTTATCAGATGATAAATGTGAATTAATCAGATGATTTATCACAAAACGTTATTCCTTCTGTTGCTCCAGGATTCCCCTTTCGGTCTCAGGCCAAACCAGAGGTCGGAAGTGGGGTGAAATTCTCCTGGCTTCTGCCCCTTCGGTTGTAAAATAACAAACTTTCATTTCTGTTGCTGTGTCACACGGTCAAAAATCAGGAGCTGTGAATCAGGAATACTGCGTCAGCTCTGCCTTTCAGTTCTCTGGCTCACAGCGGCCTGCCTCTAAATACTGCTCACTGGAGTCTCGGGCCAAACCAGAGGTCGGAAGTGGGGTGAAATTCTCCTGGCTTCTGCCCCTTCGGTTGTAAAATAACAAACTTTCATTTCTGTTGCTGTGTCACACGGTCAAAAATCAGGAGCTGTGAATCAGGAATACTGCGTCAGCTCTGCCTTTCAGTTCTCTGGCTCACAGCGGCCTGCCTCTAAATACTGCTCACTGGTATATTTAGATGTACTGAAATGCTAAAAAAAAAGAAAGATGTTTACCCTTACATCCTTGGCATAACTTAAAATACACACTGGGTGAAGCAATGCAATTTAAGATGACCAGTCCCCGGCAGTCCCAGCTTTATCCTGCTTTCTGCTGCCCTCCAGCCTGCCGGGGAAAGAGAAACAAATTCTACACATTGGGTTTGTGCAGCAACATCAGCTTCCAGCATTTCCCAGGGCACTAACTCCCTCAGAAATCATTCTTGGAAAGTAATAAAATTCAGATTTATCCAAGCTATTGCAATGCTTGCTTGGAGCTATTAAAGTCTCTCTGACACTGGTATGCTCAGAGGATCAAAGTGGCTGTATCTTCAAGACAAGTGCATATTTAGGCAATTTATTAAAGCCCATTCCTCTATCGTCTCTTGGCACCAAAGACAAATCTATAATAGCTGTTTTCTGGAGAATCTTCTTAGTGCAGCCTGACTCCTCATTTGCTGTTTGGCTGTGAGGTTGCATCCACGGCCATCTGCCATTTCGTAGCTGGCAGGTGGGGAACACACATCTTAAAAAGCATTGCTTTGACTTTCCATTACAAAGAAAGGGCTCTTAAGAGCTCGTGTACAGCATCTGAGACCAAGAATCTGTCTGCTCTCAATTACAATTCTATTACGCTGCAGAGCTGAGGCATACAGCTGTATTGTGCTAAGGGAGAAAGGTCCGCCTTTAATTTGGCCTTCTCGGAGGCAGGACCTGCTTTCCAGGAGGCTGAAGAGGGTCTCCTTTTAATGACTGCCTGAAATGACTAAAGACTCTGTTGTCTGTACCACCGCGTGATTCCTGAGTCACATACAACAGTGCTGCTAATTCTTTGTTTCTGCTTATGACACCTCTCTCTCTTTTTCTTGTTCTCTCCTAACTGCTTTTAAACAAATGCAGATGTCATAAAAACTTGACTACATGCTTTCGTATACAGCTTTGGTGAGGGTGTTTTTTAAGTAGGGAGCACAGACGCTGCCTGACCCCAGCTGACACCTCCACAGGGATTGCCAGCCAGAACAGGGCCAGCTCTGACGCTGTGATCCTGGAGAACGAGCCAGGCGTCACTCTCAGGGTGATGCTGCTAGATGCTCCCAAAAGAAAAGTATGAGCCATCACTGTGTGGTGCCAAACGTGGCTGCAGCATTTAACCTATTATCACATCCTCTGGGTTCACAGAAATGTCATGGCTCACGAAAAAAATCCTTCCCTCGATAGCAGTGGATCCAGAAATCATTCTGCCTCATCTCACTCACGGGGCCTTGAGGGCTGGGGAAGTATTTCTCCAGGGCCGCAGAAGCGGTGGCTTAGTGACATTCAGCAGGATTTGGGATCTGGGGGCGGTCAACTGCTTCCCTTCGCATGCCACCTTCAGTCCACGTCACCTGCACTGTGGTTCACCCACCTGCAAAGCCCTACTGCCAGCAGCTGAGCCCTGCCAGCGGGGCCAAGCACCTCGGCCACAGCAGCCCAACACTGACACCGGGCAGCGTGTCAGCCTTGGACCTAGTGACCCTGCTTTATGTTGAAGTGGAGTTGCCTGACCAGACACAGCAGGCTGAGCCGTCTCAGCTCCCCCATAGCTACCCCCAGCTCTTCCTCACTGTTCCCCAAACTCCTAAAGCAGGTAGGAGGGGGTGTAGTGACACTTGAAAGTACATTTTATCTCACAGGTGAAGGGTGAACATCATGCCGCAGCCTGTGGCATGTTCCCAGCTCATCATGGCTTCTCTAAGACCAGGAATGCATGTGGAAGTGCCAGAGCAACTGTCTCAAGTGCTGCAGGGGGAAGGTGTTTATAGGCAACCCTATGTCCAGGAGCAAAGGCTGAGCTGCTGCTTGGATGGAGGAGAGAAAGCACCAACTCCTTTGGCAGCTGCTTGGATGGAGGAGAGAAAGCACCAAGAGCTGTAATTGTTGCGGGAGGCTGTCCTGGCTGCGTAGCAGATAGGGAGAAGTATGTGTTTAGGGAGAAGTATGTGTTTGAACAAGCACAGTCCCACAAGCTAAGTGCACAGGAGCCAGCTCTGTCCGAAGGAAAGCAGCCTGCTTGCTGCTAGTCATCTGTGTAAAGCAGGTTCCCAGCCTGCTCTACCTCCATTTCTGCAGATTTGGTCTGTGCCTGGAAACACCAGACGCTGAGAGGGAACCTCTGGTGACATCTTCATGCTGCTTTAGGGTGTTGTTGATAGCGAAGCCGAGCCCCTACTCAGTTTGTTGATCGATGTGCTCAGGCACTGGGCTGGGTGCTGGCCCTGCGCGCTCCCCTTGGCCAGTTGTGAGCTGCAGGGAGGCCCGGGGTGGCCACGGGCAGCACATCTCCCCGGGGAGGGGAGTGTGGAGGAACCTCACCTCAGCAAGGGGAGGTTTTGCGGCCAGCAGCCTCCCACGAGGGATCGCTGCCCTCCTCACCGGTACTGCTGCAGTCAGACCAGTCGGCTCTGGGGAACTGGGGTGTCGGGGAGGCACCCCAGGACGCTTGGGGCGCTTTTGGTAAGGGAAGAGGCGTTTGCAGGACACCGGGTCCCTCTGCTGACGAGCTGCCGCAGCGCTGCCGGTGCCATTGCTGGAGGAGAGCCGCTGCCCGGGGCGCACGGTCTCGGCCCCGGCCCTCCCCGCAGCCGTGAGGTTTCAACTGCACGGAAGATTACCGTGAAAAGACCTTTAAGGGGGCGAGACTGAGGAGGGGGCCAAGGGCGGAGGAGAACGGCCTGGCTAGGGGGGCTGCAGGACTCGCCCTGCTCCCCGTCAGGGCGCAGCGGCCTCAGGACCCTTTGAGGGGGCACGGCCTGGGCCTGCCCGGCACCGGGCTGCCGCCGGAGCCCGGGGCAGGTGGGGGAGCAGAGGCTGCCCGGGCTGGGGCTGGGGCAGGGGTAGACCGGCGCCGCCCCGCTCCCGTCAGCTCGGGGAGGAGGCGAAGAGGAGAGGGCGGGCGGCGGGGCGGTGCCTGCCCCTCGCTGCCTCGGCGCTCGG